GTTTTGCCTCTTTTATCTCTTTTCGTGACTTAAATGTTGGTAATTATGACCCATTAGGACTGCCTTTGCTGCGTTACTGTTTAGGCTTGAAGGTGCACAGTTGATGTGAAATAATAACTTCCCTCAAATGTGTTAAAGTAACGAGCCTGTTTTTAAAATGTGAGGAGTAGAAAGTTCAGATATTTGTGTTAAAAAGTAGTAAAAGTAAAAGGAGTAAAAAAAATACTCCAGTAAAGTACAGATACTTAAGTACAATAAATAAGTAAGAATGCAGACATTGATGTGCTTTATTCGTTTTTTAAATAATTTCCTAAATGTGTCGTATTAACGTTCTTCGTTAAAATAATCCTATTTGTTCCAGTCTCCTCTGCTGAGGGTGGAAGCAGAAACCTGTCTAACCTCCATCCACACAAAGAAAATACTGTGGCAATAAATTCTCAGTGATTCGGTTTCCATCAAAAGTCTGCCAACTTTTAAAACCATCTCTGACTGACATAAGAATACAAAAATAAATAAAAAGACACATTTTAATGTCCAAAGTTTGAAGCCTAATCTTGAAAGTAGAGATAGTGTCTGTCTCCTGAATCCAAACTGGAAGCTGGTTCCACAGAAGAGGGGCCTGAAAACTGAAGGCTCCGCCTCCCATTCTACTTTTAAATAGAGTCAGAACAGGGTGGGGGACACGTGCCCACATTATGTTCATGGCAAGAGAAGATGAGAGCTTTTACCCCCAGGGTGCGTCCTTCATTCTCAGCTCACTACAGGTTTCCCAGCCTCAGAAACAGCACAGCTGCATAGAAGTTAAGACTCACTAACACTATAAACTAACATGAGCTGTGAGCTCAGTTTCATGATCGTTAACATGCAAATCGTACTGGTGTTGGCCAGAGGGGTCGATGGCAGCTTCTGTCAGTCTGCCCCAGGGCAGCTGTGGCTACACCTGTAGCTGCCTCCACCAGTGTGTGAATGTAAATCGCTTTGAGGGCCCCGGAAAGCACTATATAAATGCAATCCATTATTATTAGGTACATCACACACAGATACTAATAAGTAAGAAGAAATGCCTGTACAGTAACCTCACAGCAGCCATATTATTGGTCAGGTGATCCCTTCCACTGCCGATGTGGCAACAACACAGCCGTTTCCCCTCCTTATGAAACGTGTGTGAACCATCCAAAAATCACGACTTACCTCTGTTTCTATCATTGTGTCGTATCCCACCTTTACGTGTCGTCTCGGTGTGATCCGGCTGAGCCAGAGCAGCTCCACCGGGCCGCTTCTAACTTTAAACTGTTGTTGACTCTGTCATATTTTGTGTTCTGTTTTTTGTTTAAAAGCCAATAACAACACTACAAAACTCTCCACACCTGTACAAGCGCGGCTGCTGTGAGCAGAGGAAGCTGAAGGGAAAGCAGAAGTAACCTGTTAAACGTCCTGTGAGTGTTTGTGTCGTTCAGGCCTGAGAATGTGAGTTTGTCCTCAGCGAAACCAGGCGCCGCAGTAAAAATGTCAGAGCACTGCGGAGTGATAATCAGCTGCAAAAGGTCCCACAGCAGAGAGAGGTCAGAGGTCACAGAGGAACAATGAGGGGAGCTGCAGTGTTTGTGCAGATAATCCATCCCGCAGCACCAGATTGGATCAGGCTGGGTCAGGCTGGATTGGATAGCCTTTATTGTCCTCAAGGGACAATTGAGTTGCAAACTGTGGTGACCAGCCAGCGAGATAGCATTAAACAAATGAAAGACACAGACACGGGAACTTGGTGGGTGTCTGCACTCATACGTTGGATCTAGCTTGTTCCGGCGCATCCCACAGATACTCGATCAGATTGGGATCTTGGACGTCTAGAGGCAGAGTAGGCCTCTTTGTTGTTTCTGGAGTGGTTTTAGCAGAATGCTGGCCTCTGATGGGGGAGACTGCTGGGATTTTGTAGATGTCATCAATAAAACTGTCAAATAATAATGTGGGTGCAAAAGAAAACATGCAGCACTGCTCCTGATTCACTCATTCATCCTTCAATTTGCAACTCAAATGTACTTAAATAGCACAAAATCACAGCAGCTGTTTGATACTGTAAGGTGAAAACTCTACAGTAATACAGAGAAACCCCAACAACCAGACCACCCCAGTGAGCAAGCACTTGGCGACAGTGGGAAGGAAAAACTCCCTTTTAACAGGAAGAACCAGGTTTGGTGTGGAGTGAGGAGGAGCTGCTTTATTTCTTTTCTTTTGTAAAGCGTCCTCGGGTTAAAGGAACTGCAGAAATCAAAGTTTCTGTTATTATTATGACTACAAAGATGGCCGTCTGAAAACAGCTTCAGCCATTCTGAAACTTGAAAGTAGAGCACTAGTCATCAAATTCAGTCCACCCAGGTTTTATTCACCTGGAGTGATGTCATCAGTTTTCAGTGTTGGGAAGGTTACTTTTAAAATGTATTCCATTACAGAATACAGAATACATGCCCCAAAATGTATTCTGTAACGTATTCCGTTACGTTACTCAATGACAGTAACGTATTCTGAATACTTTGGATTACTTAATATATTATCTTGCTTGAAATATTTTAAACCAGAGGATTCAAAGGCATGTCCTCAAGCATCTGCTCTGCTGTCTCATTAATCTGTTGGACAGTATCACATCACTTCTGGGATGGGAAGCATGCATCAATCCTAAGAAAAAGGTCAAACTGTTTCTTAGTCTATTGATTAAACTTAATTTTATAAAATGTGTTTATGTTGCTGCCAGTGAGTTTCACTCAGTGAAACAGCTGTACACATCTGGCTGCAGAGGTTCACTCACTGTGAGTTCAGGCTTCACTGTAACAGTTCGTCCAGATGATATTTCAGGTTAGCTGAGCAGACAGTCTGTGAGGTGGACAGGAGAGAAGGATGTGACACACAGTCTTTGGTAAGGAGCTGAATGGTCTGAAATAGTGTATCATAAATATAGTTCAGGTTGTTGCTATCATGCTGAGTAAATGTACACAAGATGCTTGTAGCTGTTGCGTGCTAGGCGTTCTACGTTTTTATGCTTTGTGGTTATTTCTGTGCTGCTAACAACTGAATTTACTTCAGTTGTCTGATGTAGATCCATCACTCTGGGCCTGGACCTGCAGACCACAGGGAAACATCACACATCTACCTGCTGTCTGTTTCACTGCTCAAATATATTTTTTGTACGGTACTGTCTTCTTGAAATTCTTTCAATTTTTTGTTTGCAATCATACACACGATGCAGTCATTGACCTACACTGATTCACTTTTCACTGGAAGCTTCATTCCATAAATATTCAGTCAATTTAACACATTGGAACAAATTTTAAACATTTCAGCTGAGACAGATGAACATCATGTGACTATTTCATCAAGTGTGTTGCTTTCAATGACCATGTTCCTGTTAAATACAGTTACAGTGTCATTTGAAGAACTTCTTAGTCATCATTACTGCTGTTTGAGTGTGTGCTCATTACTGTTATCTCTTTAGTACTTTTTGAATTTAAGGTACATTTTGGAAGAATCAGTTTTATTAAAGCTTTTTCTGTATTGTGTGTTGTACATTCCACATTTTATCTACAAATCTGATCCTTGGAAAAATCCAGGAGAAAACATGAAACGAAAGGAGAAAGAAGAGGCAATTCCTCCATATTATCTTTTTTTTT